TTATGAAAACATATTTCAGAACAGTATACAATGTTGAATGTTTTCAACAATTGAAACAAAAAATTGTGCAAGAATTACATTATTGAGCAGGAAAGTGAATCGCAAAAGAACATGATGGCGGAATGTATTAATCATTTGAGAAATGAAATAATTCAAGTCAAAACGTTTAAAGCATTATTAAAATATAAATATAAAATATTATTATTGAAATAAAGTATGTTACAAAGTATTGAATTATTTAATTAAATGTTTAAAATATTTAATTAAATGTTATGTTAGTAAATATCACATTTTCTAATAATATAATTATATTTCTAATAATCTACAAACATTTTATAAAAGCCAATTTTATTTAACATATAATTTCAAATTATTATATTATATTTGTTATTGTCATAACTTGAAATGTTTGAAACAAAATCAAAATTAAAACAAACTGCATGTTTTTTAAGCTATATATAGATATTCTGCATATATATGTATATATGTATGTATGTATGTATATATGTATGTATGCATATATATGTATATATGTATATATACGTATATACGTATATATGTACATATGTACATATGTACATATGTATATATATGTACATATGTATATATATGTATATATGTACATATATGTATATATATGTATATATGTGTATATGTGTATATATGTATATATATGTATGTATATATATATATATTTGTAGAATATAGAAATCGTAACATATGTAAATAGATGCTCTGCATCACGATTTTTGCAATTGGAGCAATTGGAGTACAGATCGGCTGCATTGCAGATTATTCATCACATTCTTTGAAATATTTCATTCTAATTTGATTATTATAAAACAAATATTTCATTTATAGATAAATATTTATCCAATTTCATACGTACTAATTTCATAAGTGACAATTTCCAATTTTCATAACATATTAATAGTAAGAACAGTTATAAACTAATCATACAAAAATAAATGCAACCGGAACCTGAGTAAAACAAATAGAAGAAAAAAAAAATAAATTCAACAATTGATCATTGATCAGTTTAATCAGTTTAAATGATAAAATGATCCTACTTGTCAAATTTTATTCGTACTATCTGGTGAGAATCTACTGTCAAAAGTTACTGATTCTTTCGACACTTGTTTGTTGATTTGTTCTTAATTTCCATTTCATGGACGATTGAAATGGGTTTGACAAAGTGGAACAAAATTGAAAACATGTGATAGCAACGCGAGACATGTTGTTAATGGGGGTGGAAAAAAAACGAAAGCAAAGTGCAATATAGGGATATGACACTCACCCAAAACATAACGTTAAATCCAAAGATCACATACTTGAGACAGCAGCTCACTTCACTGGTATCCCTTCTGTACTTCCGCACAGCAGGCATGGCTAAGAGACATTTATCTAACGCCTTTGCGAACTTCACGCATACGTGCACACAACACACTCGCAAGAATGCAAAACCACTATTCACACAACACAAAGAGCACCGGCGCCCTGCAGGCAAAACAAATCACAAACGTAATGACATAGCCGAAAACCTAATTCCCTTCTATCCTGACTTTTCCCTTTAAATTATTTCGGAGGGCTTCTTCGACACGGCCGCTTCCTCCCGGCTTGATCCTCGTCTTACTATTTAATCGTGCGTTCTTTCTCGATTTGAGCTCTTTCCGTCGAGCTCAGTTGATCAGCTGATCACAATAACGTACCGTTTCGCAATTACGACTACCGCCATTGTCACGTCACGGTACATACTACCCGAGGCTGGATCAACGAGACTGCGAGCAGATCAGACTTTCCACCCGCCCTCCGATTCTCCCCACCAAATTTCATTCGCTGCCCCTCCAACGCTCGATCGTCCACCCTTCGATGTTCCCCACCTTAACCCCCTCTCTCACACTAGCGCCCTACTACTCACTATTATTTGATGTTCCCCCTTTTATTTTCCTTTCCTGATCCTCTCGATCATCTAACACGCTTCACTCCACAATGCTTCACTTCCCTTTTCTTTTCCTTCGGTTACATGTCTCGGATATACATACGTTCCCTCATGCATATGATAACATTTATCGGTTTAACTTGAACTTTTCCTTTGATAAGCAACATTCCAATTTATTATCATAACTTCTATAAATTAGACGAAATTAAAATGATGTTGATAAATAACAAAGACATTAATCGTATCGATCAATGATTTTATATATATATATATTTGATTTATACTGAACTATTATTAATTCCTTACGGCATTTAAATTTTATTATTATACAAGCCACTATGTGCTACATGTTATAATTTGTCATCAGTGTTCATATCATGTTTGTTACGTTCGTATTTTCTTTTTCCTTCCTTTATTTTGTTTCACGAGAATTTATATATAATATAATTCCTTTTATTAAATTATAATGTATTATATTAATATATATTAATGGATTGTTACATATAATGAAATTCAATATTAAATTAACACGTTTTGTATTCCATTTTATTATTATTATTGATAATAGTAGTATCATATATTTTAATCTCAATTTAATGTATCAAGAGAAATTTTACAGTATCAAGAATATATATCAAGAAAAATTTTTAAAATACACTAATCTCTAACTCAGTATTATTTATTTCTTTTTTTAAATACAAATTTTAAACAAATCTTTTCTCGAACACGATGCAGGTAAAATACTTATAAAAAAGAAATCTGTGTGTATAATTTATTCGCGATTATACTGAATGTAATCATAATCTTAATTAAATTTAAATAAAAAAAAAAAATTTAATTAAATTTAAATTAAAATTAAAATAAATAACAATTTTTATTAAATTTATATGTTTAATTTTTTGTAATTAATAATATTTAGTTTTTTAATATTTAGCAACTATATATAATAATGTATAAACAAAATTATTTATTTATGACTCAGATAGGTGCAGAGAATAAACGAAATTATTTTTTTTTAAATATTTACTTAGAAACTAAGAATGTTTATGTTATATTATTATATTAAGTATGACTGATTGATGTGATTGTTGCTTAATATTGATAAAAAACTAATAATACAATAAAATACTTATTTATTTTTATCACAATATCACACAAATTCTATATCTAGCGATATCGATGTGTATTTACATTAATTAGAATAAAAATTTGCGCATGGCAAAGATAAAGTTGCAGTTCAAAAAATAAGAAATAACATTGTTTAAAAGATTCTGAACTTACAATTAATTATTAACAATAATAATAAACTTTAATTCAAGTACATATAATCTGTTCACATTTAACCACACATTTAACCATTTAACCAATCATCATTTTATAATCGAATATATTATAAACAATGTCTTATAATGTATACAATTTCATATACTTTACTATAACATTGTTCATTGATATAATCGTGAAACATTTCTAACAATATGGAAGATAAAAGGAAATCTGGAAGAAAATTTTCGATAAACACTAATATTGAACTTAACCAAATATTGAACTATGAAAATTTAAAAGGAAAATTTAAAATTAGATAAAAAGGACTAAAATTTCGAGAGCAAAAATTTCAAGAAACTTTCCGAATTAAACAATAATATCTTGAATCCGTAACTTTTATGACAAAAGTTATTTCTACTTTCTAATACTTTCAAATTTTCGCGCACTTTAGTGAATAAATACAGAATACCAATTCTCGTAAACTAAATCCTTAAATAATCACTAAATATATAACTTTTTAAAAACATTTTTACATTATAATAAATTTTATATCCCGTATTACTTATTTTTACAACTATAATCATAACACTGATCATATTAAGAAAAATCTTATATAAGAATTTATTTTACTTCAAATTAATTTAATAAATATTAGCTAAAATATGTTCAGTCAAATAAAATGTATTCAAAGAATATTTAATATACAATGCATTATAATAATCTTTATTTATAATATTTTTTTATTTATGTTAAAAAAACTCGAAACATAATTTCATGTTTAGTGTTTGCTACTAGGTTTGGTACGAGGTTTGGTAAAAAAACTCGAAACATAATTTTATGTTTAGTGTTTGGTACTATTGCTATGAATTCAACTTGTTGAATCTGTATTTAACCTATTAAGAGTTACTGAATTTTAAACATAATTTTTATTGAATTATCATATAAAAAGTTAAAAATAATGAGTTTAATACCATATATGCGTTCTGTAGGTACACACATATATATATATACAATGCACAAAATATACATGCAACATAACCTTATTTTTAATTTAAATTAAGAGTGAAATATTTTTAGTTATTTCAGATTAGTCAAAATAATGTTACAAAAAGGCATTTATATATCAGTACAGTGCTTAATAAATCACGAATTGCGCGTTACTGGCCAAAACCAAAAGTAGTGCAAGCACTGACATATGAAATGGCAAATCCACCACATTATATTGCTTCCAGAAAATCTTGGAATTCATGGAATACATGTAGGGATATTTTATAATAAGAATACTTGAAATTAAAATTATTTAGAAAATTTTAAATCTGTTTTGGTTTTGAAATTCTTATTATAGCTGATTATAATGTGTAATACTAATATGGATTATTTCTTTCAGCGAATGTAAAAGATGGTAATAGACCATCAGAAACTTTTGTGGAAGATTCATTTATTCGAAATTTTATACAAGGAACTTGGCACGGATTGTTTTTAAGTGAAGTCATTATTAAACGTCAACATAATATCATTAGAATAGCTGGTATTGTTCAATGCAAATTGAAGCCTATTCAAATACATTTTTTAATTGGTTATACTGAACAACTTTTAAGCTTCTGGTTACATTGTCCAATAAGAATGGAATTATCATTAGTACCTAGTAGAGATGCTGTTGTATATAAATATATTTAATAGATTTATAGTCTCAATTATTTAGATATAAGATAGGGATAAACTGTAATTTTCATAAAAAATTATATTGTGTAAATAAAACTAAATTTATAATTCTTAATTTATTTTACATGTATTTACACTATTATGATTCATGTATTGTGCGACTTTTTATGTTAAATATGTCTGCAGATAATGTAATTAATATACTTGGATATAAAATTAAAAAAACATGCAGATATAACATAACAAATATTGTTAAATATTTTAATACCTTACGCATACATTTTTGGAATTATTTTCCAAAGTATGTATATATGACCAGAATTCACAGTTCTTTTACGCATATTTCAGAAACTTTTAAACAACAACGTGAGAAACAACTCTCATTTTCGAGAAATATGTCGAAATATCTGCATTACGATATGGCGACAGGATAAAATTAATACTAACTCAAATCTAAATTTTCTATATTCAAATTGCCATATTTTTTTTATTATTGAATTCTTTTGACATAAGTATATTCTTTTTGTGTTTTAAACCATCTTTTCTAAATACTTGAATACTTGTAATTCCAGTTTGTGGAAAAATTACGTCTACATCTTCGTATAATGTAATATAATATAACATTATTTCTTTCATTAAAATCTTAGTAAAAGCATTGAAGTTTATTCAGATACTCTTCTTCACTTTCTGTCATTGTCTATTAGTCTGCTTGATTTATTATTCTATTTACTATTGATTTATTAGTATTGTATTGAATTTTTGGATCTTTCGTAATCTCTCTTTATGAATATGAATAAATGAGAATTTACGTAAAATAACAATTTCTGCAAAAGGCTTTCCTGGAATCAGTTATCAGCTTTTCACGCGCTGAGTCGTGCATACTTTCTCATGTTATTCTCACGTTTTACAGTTGAAGAGATGTTTTTACGCTACTGGTTGTTACTTGTAAAATGCTTATCTTCTCGCTAAGGAAAGTATATTTAAAATGTCTAAATCTCTATAATATGAATTATTATAACTTTGTGGAAAAATGATTTAAATTCTCGAATTTGTAGCTTTTTACTTTCTAAATTCAATGATTCTTGAGTATATTATACAAAGTACATTCAAAATAGATGATTAAAATTTAGCATTATACTCTGATCTCTGTAAGAATACGAAAAAATAGTACAAACATAAGATTAAAATTCCAGAACAGTGATTATTAAATTTATAAAGTATTTAGATAGGAATCAATTTATTACAATGCATTTTGACTTTAATATCACGTTGATTTATTCAAAAATAGGAATACTATTTTTAATTGCAATTAATTAATTTGAATGTTTCTATGTAAATACCAAAGTTTAGAAACTTACATATTTTGATTACACTTTACAGTGTTCAGTCTAACATATTTGTACATTGATCTTTTTAGCATATGCATATAAAAGATAGTAATAAGCCACCAGAAAATGCTGTAGATTTATTTATTCGAAATTATATACAAGGAACTTGATTTGTGAATGTTTATTAATTTATTTATAATTTTATTGGTACCCTATGCCACCCACTACTACCCCATGCATATTATTAATTTATTATAATATGAACTTTCGCTGTTAAATTTTATATTAAATTAATTCAACAAATATATTTCAAAAGAAAATTTAAAACACATATTTTTATATAATTCATAATATTCTTTTTCATATAATTCTAACAAATTTTATGTAAAGCAAAAAAATTCATGTAGTTTTGTTATATAATAATAAGCATGTAATTATTTTACTTTCTGAATATTTTTAATTTATTTTATGTTAGTTAATAAACTGTTACATTCAATCATGACTCAAACGCAGCCCATATACAATCATTGCATTTTTAATAAAAAGTAAATTACATATTATTTTAAGATAGCTATTTAAATAAAAAGATATTTAAGTGCAAACTGACAGAGCATTCAAACTTTTATATATTCTACTAGACACATTCTCTCCTTTAGTATGTCTTTACAACTCTTTTCTTCCATTATTCAATCAGGATCGTGTTGCTACATATTTGTACTTTCAATAGATCTTTGAGTATTTATATAGGTATATAGTAATGAGGAATCATCATTAACTAATTAAGTGAAAAAATTAAAATAAAATATATTATAGTTTGCAATAAATTTGTATGTTAAAGTGAAGAATTATTATAATGAAAAATTGTTATATAAAATTGTGAATAGAATTTACAAATTTATGATTATGAAGTATATTTTATATATGACATTTGCAGTAAAAATCGCGTCAGTTTAAAAATATAATTTTAGAAAATTAAAAATTTATTGATTAAAAAATTGATATTTAAAAAATTTGTGTAACTACATATTATAACAATTATACTGTATGCTTTTAAAAAAACTTTATTTTCTCAGAAATTAGATTATTTGCAAATTAATGTTTTTTTTTATCCTTAGAAACATAAAATAATGAATTCAATAAAATAATTCTTGATTCCAGCATTTCCAATATAGCAGGTAAAAAATTTCCAAAAGCGTACACGAAATCTGATTGAATTTACAATATTAACACTGAAATGTAATTATCCTTATGATGGACGCAAGAATTATGTTCCAATGTTCATAATTTTTTATCATGTTCTTATAAAAGTACAGACTGAAATGTGCTGTGCTTGCCTTATTATATTCTAATATAATATAATTCTATTCTTATTTATGGAAGTCAAAAATCGACACTATTACGCAATACTACATAGAACATAATTAATATTGCACTTTGTTCAAACAAATAAATTACATATATGAGGCAATTAGAAACAAAATTATAGAATAATTTGTATCAAATTATCTTTGGGATTAAGTTAAAAAAATTATGTTGTATTCTTCATTAGTTCTATCATTGCATTATTTCTACTTAATATAATAAGATTATTGTATATATAAAAATGACTATATTGTGAATTATAATTGTGGTATATTGACCTCAATAAGCCATATTGTTTTGCAATTCAAATGATTATAAAATATTTATTCAATATTAAAATATTAGTAGGAATTCTAGTATCACGTCCGATAAACTAAAAAAAAATAATATTTTTTTATGAATAAATAATTACTAAAATATCTTGCATTAAAAAATGGTTCTTTTGGTGTCGCTTGTTACATTGTACCGCATAACTGCTAAATGCAAACATACTTTTAAATATCATATATAATATCACATATATGACAATATATATTATATTATACATAATATTATGTATGCATATATTAATAAATATATATATCATATACTATGCTCTGATAAATTATTATTAAACACTATTACAGTGTAGTTTCAAATCTATATATTTTGTTATATTGTTTGACTTAATTTAAGCAATATTATTCTATTAATATTGCGTATATAGTGTCATTTTGTATTTATGTATATATCCTTATATTATGTAGTATGCCCAAAATTACAAAATACAGAAAAGTAAAGGCATTGACTACTTATATTTGATCAAACTATTGAAGATGTACCAAACATTTCAAATGAAACATTGTGTTTTCATCATACAAGAAACACAAGTAACATAAGACAAGAAAGACAAGTACATCTTTAATCACATAAAAATATTTACCTATTATTAACTAATTAAAAATAATGTTGAATCTTCTATATATTGTGTGAAAAAGCTTAAAAAATTGAAAATTAACATACTTATAAAGATTCATAATAATTTCTAAATTATTCATTGTTTTTACAACGGATTTATGAATTTAGTAAGACAACATTATATGTAAATTATATACAAGAAATATTTTTAAATACAGTTCGATGAATTCTCATATTGCAATTATTATATATTATTTTATTATTCGCAATCAGTATCTTTCCAATTAATTCTAAACATTTATAAGAATTTAGTATATCTTTATTTTTTGTTAAAAAATTTAGCAGCTTTTACAAAAAATCTATGATTCGTGGAGAAAATTTATTTTAGTATGACTATTAATGAAGGTATGAAATATTATATTAAAAAATATAATATTCAAAAATAATTATTTGATCGTTTACATTTATAAGAATATGGAATGTAAAGTATATGTAAAATGATATAATTAAAATATGGATATATATAAACTAATATATTATATAATATATAATATAGTATATAGTATATTATATATATAATATATATAACATATTATATATCATAAACTAATTAATTGCCTTTTCATTAATATCAAATAATTATTTTGTTTTAAAAATATCTTTTAGTATGTATTTTTTCCCGCAAAATTAATATTAAAAGTAAAAAGTTTAATATTATATAAAACAAAATTTCACAAACTCACATCATTAAATGAATTAAAATAAACTAATATGTTTCAATATAAAATTCTTGTTCATTAAAAATAAATGTTTCCCTAAGTTATTCTTTAATTCTATCTAAGTACTCCATTTATTGTCATACTTATATAATCATTCATTTATAATCAATTTTACAAATATGTGATGTATTTGTTAAAAAATCTGAAATATAGCACTAATTGACTAGAGTTGTATACTTTTTGTTTTAAAATAACAAAAGAAGCATTGTTTGACATTAACTGTTGTATACATATTAAAATGAAATATTGTGTAATAAATAAGAATGTTGTTAATCAAAGTAATATGGATTCTAGAATGTTTATTGACTGTGTTCATTATGAATGTCATACATTTTTGCTATCACATGTATCAATGGATAATACTGTTACATCTAAATTATAAACAGTTAAATTTGATTTCTTTCATTTACACACAAATATATATAGTTTATTAATGGTCAAAATTTGTTAAGCATCGATATGATATTTTTTTAATATTTAAAATTATTTACAAAATTTTGATATTTTTCCAATGTATGAAACATACCATCATATAAATTTTGTTTAGTAGTATTACAATAACATTTATAAATTTTATATATTAATTATGTAAGTGAATATGAATTACAAAATTTTTGTAAGAATTCATCGAACTGTTTAAGAGATATTTAAAATTTTTGCAAGAGTTCTGCTACCTTTATTTTATAACAAGAAAAATTTATTTATATATTCTTAAAACAAGAAATTATGAAATTGTCGCTGCTTTTTACAATTTTTTTTTTTGTTTTTACAGTTTATATGAATGCATATTAGCAAAAGTAGTGTTACTCTATTGAAGAACAGCGGTCCTCGTTTTATTACATAGTGTAACAAAGATAAATCTTGATTTGAATTACATAAA